GTTTAGCTTCTACACATGGTAACAGTCCTCTTTGATGAGGGTTATGCTTTTCTTGTGGGAGCTACACATTCTCTTAGGGCCCTTGCAGAGCATGTTCAGGTTTTACAATGGGTGGTCTCCCTTTCCCCACTAACCTGAGATAACCAATGGGCGAGCAATTCACCATCTACAGGATTGCAAAAATAAACATGACTTTCAACCCAGGTTGCTTCAGAAGGACTCTTCCTGGCTGTATTTTAATGAAGGGCCCTGCAAATGCTTGTGAGCCACTTCAGTAAGAGATGTTTTCTAGTTGTAAATAAGATATAACTGAAGTGTTAAGTATGAAATGCTGTCATTTAATAATTTAAGTACAAGCATTGTCAGTGTTTGCATCTACCTTACCTTTAGGGTCTCTGGATTATCAAAATATTTCTAATTTAAGGCATATTTCAAATGAAAGTAAATACAACAGAACTGAGTTGCAGATGGCATTTTAAAAGACTTTTTCATTATTTAGGCTTCCTTTTCTTCTCTCCCTTGTCAGTTCCTGTGTCTCTCAATTTCTTGTTACTCTGTAATCTTGGCAGGGATGCAGATATAGCTGTGGACTTTCCTTGCCTAGCTCTGTTTAGGGTACCTCTTTCACTCCTTCTATTAATTTCCATGGAGGTATATTGGGATGTGTTAAATGCCAAGGCTCAAAGGAAAGAAGAGAAAGTTCCAATCTTGTCATATATGCCAGTTTCCTCTCCTAATGGTTCTAAACTCTTGACTGAGTAAAATATTTTCTTTGATCAGTGACTATATTTGTAGAATACCTAAGAATTAGGCTTTGTCCTAATTAGAGATAAATAATCATATCTCTAATTTTATCAGCTCTACATTGTTTTCAAAAGCTCTATATTGACCAGATTTTCAGCATCAGAAAGGCAGAAAATGATAACACATTTTTAATTTCAATAAAGTTAATACTTCTCACACAGTATCGTCAAATCCTTTGAATTAAAAGTAATAGCTACTATTTTCTTTGGGGGTATAATAGGCAAAGATGTTAGAATTGTAAGAGTTTGCATTTTTTTACTGGAATCACAAACATGTATTGAAAATCTGTATATTGAATTCACAAAACCCTACATATATTTCTGTGCAGTCTCAGCCATTGAGCTTATTTTTTGTTGCCTTGCTATTATGTTGGAAAAGCAAGCAATGCTGATCATTGTTAAAATCACAGCGATTTTGTTTTATAGTCATTGCCTTTTTTGTAAAAGGGAACGATTTCTAGTCCAGGAGAGAAATGTGTACACCAAGAACGGGAATGTGTGGTAGGAAAGTATGTGAATGCCTGACCACAAAACAAAATACACTTTCACTGAACTTGCATCTCGATCTCCATTTGGTGACAGACTGCATTTTAGGGTTTCAAAGATGAGCATCCCACAGCTTCCAGGAGATAGGGCCTCAGTGCCTTTCATCTCAAGGTAGTTGGTTAAGGCTGGAATGCAGTGACCAAATATATGTGATATTCATCACCCATTTATCTTTACAACTATCATCACCAGGACTGTATAGGATAAGAATTTGTTCAGGAACCTGAGGAGAGTATGAAACAGTTTCGGCTCATGACTGAGACAAGTGTGCACCAAGGAAACAGACATCCTTGAATGTCACCAGGGATCTGCCAGAGCTTTGCCGTGTTCCTAATTCAAGTTTCCCCCGACCCCCCAAGATTAACTTGCATATTATAGAAGCAAAGAACAGTCCATTTCAATGTGTCACAAGCCAACTCAAAAAATTCCTACAGAGTATTAGCTTCCTATATGAAATAATATAAATGCCATCTTCAATTTAATATGAACCAAAGAGTAAAATATCCTAATGTGAAAATGGGGGGGGGGGATGACAAGTAGATAATTCTAGGAAAACTTTCAGATCATGGTATTTTAAATAGTCAGAGATGTGATGGTAAAAAGAAACCAGCCAAGACTCTTGACCCTTCTCTCTCTAATTAATGAAGGTAGCATTTCCCTTCTCTTCTGGGCCAAACTAATGATCAGATAAGAGTCTTCTAATTTTATGCAACTTTAGTGGCTGACCGTAAAAGCCAGGTAATAGATACCACCAGGGAGAGGCAAGTCAGAGGGTGCTGAATTCAAGAGGGGGGAGGAAGAAGCAAGTTCCAAACAAAAGCCAAGCAACAGAGCCCCAAACACTGGTGTGCGCTGGGGCGCATAACCCCAATTTGTAAACAACAGGGGTATTCAGTGTCTTTTTATGCAAGACAAAGACCCCAAATAAAGGTCCTGAATATGTTGACTCTGCCTGAGAAACATCCCAATGGTCTGGAAAATAAAGGTAAGAGTGTCTAAGCAAAACCATTTGGACCTCCCCAAATGAGCATAGGAGATCAAAGCTGCATGTTAGTCGCTCAGGGTCTTGGGCTTGGGAACACCCTAAATCCAGAACATACCCTCCACTGAATATCATGTCACTTCTTTTCAAAGTGTAAACAAGAGGGCAACCCCAGAGTCCAGTGTAGACAGATTTCCAAATACAAGCATAATGAAGGTTAAGATGCTGTTAAATAATGGGCCCCTGGTTGATTAACAGAGAGCCAAAGGAATTCAGAAGTCAATCTTAAGATTATCAATCTTTACAGACCAGCAAATGACTGATCTTTTCTAAATAACTTTAAAGATGTGATTATCTAAATTAATGACAAGTAGCTTGGAAGACACTTAGAATCATAAATGAACAGTCGGTAAACTCACTTTTTCCATCATATCACCAGTTTGGTTTGGGCTATTAGACACCAAATCTTTTTGGCTGATACAGATAGAGATCTCTCCAGTGTCTTTACCATTTTCAAGTACCTGAAAAATAAGTACATTCAAAAATATAAATAAATACTTGTACACACACATACATACGTATTTCATACATACATATATAAACACAAACAGTCCTGGCTTTGAACAACAGGGGGTCGAATGAAAGTCATGGGTACAGGAACTGTGTGACT